CAGAATAGATTTTTTTGCACAGCTCAACATTCCTTCCCATTCCAAGCGCAATGCAACCATCAAAATCGTGCCTGGACACCTTGGTTTTTCAACCCTAACCCTAGCCTGCTGAAAATCCCTAACACTAAAATAGGGCGATTGTTCCCTTGAAAACAATGTCATTTTATAAAAACCCTCAGAGATTTTGTTGTTTTTGCACAGCTCAACGTTTCTTCCCATTCCACGCACAATGCAACCATCAAGATCGTTCCTGGACACCTTGTTTTTCCAACCCTAAACCTAGCCTGGTGAAAATCTCTAACCCTAATACAGGGCGATTGTTGCATTGAAAACAATGCGATTTTTTAAAAACCCTCCCCGAGTTGGTTTTTTTGCACAGCTCAACATTTCGTCCCATTCCAACGCCAATGCAACCTTCAAAATCGTGGCAGGACACCTGGTCTTTCTAACCCTACCCCTAGCCTGGTGAAAATCCCTAACCCTAATTTAGGGCGTTTGTTCCATTGAAAACAATGTGATTTTTTAAACCCCCCCCCAGCCCCAGAGTTGGTTTTTTTGCCCAGCTCAACATCTCTTCCCATTCCAAGCCCAATGCAACCATGAAAATCGTGCCTGGACACCTAGTTATTCCAACCCTAACCCTAGTCTGGTGAAAATCCCTAACCCTAAAATAGGGCGATTGTTCCCTTGAAAACAATGTCATTTTTTAAAAACCCTCCCAGAGTTGTTGTTTTTGCACAGCTCAACGTTTCTTCCCATTCCACGCACAATGCAACCAGCAAAATCGTTCCTGGACACCTTGTTTTTCCAACCCTAACCCTAGCCTGGTGAAAATCGCTAACCCTAATATAGGGCAATTGTTCCTTTGAAAACAATTCGATTTTTTAAAAACCCTCTCCGAGTTGGCTTTTTTGCACATCTCAACATTTCTTCCCATTCCAAGCACAATGCAACCATAAAAATCGTGGCAGGACACCTGGTCTTTCTAACCCTACCCCTAGTCTGGTGTAAATCCCTAACCCTAATATCGGGAGATTGTTCCCTTGAAAATAATGCGATTTTTTTAAAACACTCCCAGAGTTGGTTTTTTTGCACAGCTCAACATCTCTTCCCATTCCAAGCCCAATGCAACCATCAAAATCGTGCCTGGACACCTTGTTTTTCCAACCCTAACCCTAGCCTGGTGAAAATAGCTAACCCTAATATAGGGCGATTGTTCCTTTGAAAACAATGCGATTTTTTAAAAACCCTCCCCGAGTTGGTGTGTTTGCACAGCTCAACATTTCTTCCCATTCCAAGCCCAATGCAAGCAGCAAAAGCTTGCCTGGACACCTTGGTTTTTCAACCCAAAGCCTGGCCCGGTGAAAATCGCTAACCCTATTATAGGGCTATTGTTCCATTGAAAACAATGCGATTTTTTAAAAACCCTACCACAGTTAGTTTTTTTGCACAACTCAACATTTCGTCCCATTCCAAG